GATTGCGGTGTGGCCATCCCCCCTGGGGGGTGATTTCTTGCTTTCTGTCTCTCTGTGTCTTTCTGGAGAGCGCACGCGCCCTACAGCAAAAACCTCTCCAAAAAAAACCCGAACAAACGGTTTTTAGCCCTTCTGTGGGCTAGCCCCTTTTCCAAGCACTTTTCACAAAGTATCTCATTGAACTCCGAGGCTATTATTATCTCTATTTTGCTGCGTGGAAACTGAGGCACAGAGAGGTCAGCCATTTACTCAGGCTAGCAGGGGGTAGAGCAGGACCGTGAATGAAGGCAGTCTGGGTTTCGGATCCGGGCGTTTGAGTTGGCGACCGGAGGGGGGCCAGATATCTGCCCCTCGAACGTGCTCGCCTGAAGGCAAAGACTCACTTCACATCCTTCAGGAGGAAGCCCATGGCAAGCGAGGAGGCAGGCGAGACAGAGAGGAGGTGCCTGACCGCCTCCCAGTCATTGAAGAAGACAGGGCAATGGCCGCGGGGTGACCCGGGGTTGTAGGGAGCTGGGGCGAGGTTCGGAGTGGTTGCGCCCTCCTCTTCCTCTACCCCCACACGTCCCACGCCCCTCTCTCCGGACCTCAGGTTTCGTGCAGTCAGAGCTGAAGAACCTTCTGGCAGTACAGCGAGAGTCACGCCTCTGGAAGGTGGGCAGCCAGGAGGGCCGGGAGCTGCTGGCCCAGCCGGAGATCACCCTGCAGGAGGCAGGCGTTGTGGATGGCCAGGTACGCCGGATCTCAGGCCGCTGCCCCGCCCGCGGGCGCTGAGGAAGAGGGCTGGAGGTCAGTTAGCTCACAGGGCCCTGGCCTTGGCTTCGGCCCCTACTGCTGGGTGGGGCTGACAGAGTCCCTACTCGGTCCTGCTATGTCTGAGCTCTGGTCCCTGGCCCCCCGTGGACGTACATTCATGCATGCACGTGGGGACACCCACACACTCACACACACCTACACCTCTCCATCTGTTTCTCACTTGACCCAAGGTCACGAAGTTCTTTTTTTTTTTTTTTTAAAGATTTATTACTTCAATTTTATTTATCCTTTTTTTCTTTTTCAAAGAAATTTTTAAGAATCATTTTATTTAACTTTATTTATTTCTTTTCATTTGACCAGAGGAGGGACAGAGGGAGAGAGAGAGAGAGAGAGAGAGGGAGGAAGAGAGAGGGAAAGTAAGAGACCAAGCCACCAGGTCCAGGACTCAAACCATGGTCGGCCACATAGGAATCCAGCACCCTTAACCACTACGCCACCTGTTGGACCTCATTATTGTTTTTTAACTTGTTATAGGGCACATAAGTTCACCAGAAAGAGACAGAGAGACAGAGAGCTAGGGAAAGTGAGAAAGCAAGCTGCCTTGTCCAGGACTCGAACCACAGTCAGCCATGTGAGAGTCCAGTGCTCCCTGCCCCACCACGCCACCTGCTGGCCCCTACGGAGCCCATTTTTAAAGTTCTGACTTTGCCATTCACTTGTGGTGTGGCCTTGGGCAAGTCCCTTTCCCTCTCTGGACCTCAGTTTCCTGTCTGTACACTGAGGCGCCCTGAGTCTACCCTGTGCATCACACAACGCCGCCCGCTCACGACCACGCCACTCCCGCAGACACCAGACACGCAGGCTGGGTGACCCCACCGGGTGGGATCAGAGACCACCCCTGCTCCCTCCCTGGCGTCGGCCTTTGAAGGCTGGGCCCCTCAGCGTCTCCGATGAGGTTGACAGGCCTGTGGTTGAACAACATGCCGGGGCCCTTGGTGACCTCGCGGCTACTTTCCTTCGGTGACACTGGCTTTAGTCCTCAAGTCTCTCCTCTGCTCTATGACTTCAAATATAAGCCTCAGTGTCTCCACCCGTAAAACGGGACCGTGGGAGCATCGAGGGAGACGGGCAGTACCTGAGCCGGGATCAGGGCCCGGTGACTCATCTTGGGCAGTGACTGTCAGAAAGGCATGCCTGCTGGGTGCTGAGGGCATCCTTGTCATTGCCGGAGCCCGAGGTGTGTCCCAGCCCACCCGCTCTGTGTCACTTCATCCTTCACCACACAAATCGCCCCCTTGTGCTCTTTGTACATCAAAGGGTTCTAATCCTGGGAGCTGTCCCACCCTTCCCTCCTCCTTCCCCTCCTCAGCCACTCCCTGAGCCAGTCTGCCCCACACCAGGGGTCACAGTCCCGGGGTAACCTGAGCACCACCGGGGGGGCCTTAGGGAGTTTCTGGGTGGTGGCCAACTGGGGTGCAGCCCAGCCCTCCCTTTGGGGGCAGAGCTGCCTCGGGTTATCTTCCTCCGGGGGTATTTCAAGGGTCCGTCCTCACTCTGCCCCTCTCCTTATCTGCCCCCAGGGACACCAAGCTGAGGGGGAAGGAAGCCGCCCCCCAGCCTTTGGGGAATGCTGGGGACCTGGGGGAGGGGCACAGAGGCAGCGGAAGCGGCACCCTAGGCTGGAGGGAAGGGTGCACAGCCCCCTTGGCGTGGTGTCCAGGACAGAGGTGAGGGCTGGGAGGGGTGGGTTGGGGTGCTTGACTCCTGGGACTTCCAAGGACCCCGCCCCAGTCGGAGGAGGAAATGCTCCCACATTCAGTGGGAAGGAGGCAGAGCCGCTGTGGGAGGTGGGGGTGTCCTAGGAAAAGGTAGCTGGGGCACATCTCGGGGGTGGGTGGGACAGTGCTGGTGGGGGGTGCAGAGCAGGGAGGGGGGCAGCCCAGATGCCAGTGCGTCTACCTTCGCCCGTTTCTGCCCGTAGCACCTGCTCCTCGAGGAGATGGACGAGATGGGAAACTGGCCTCCCGAGTGAAGCCGCGCTGGCCCCAGCCTGCCCTGCCCCAGACCTCGGAGCTTCGCCCGGGATGTCTCTCTCCTCTGAGGGCACGCCAGGGAGCCCCTAGGGCCAGGCTTTCTGGGGGTGAACAGTGCGCACGCGTCTGCAGGGTGGGCCTGCCCACACCGTCCCCACCACCCGACTCGGGCCTGCGGCCTTAGGAATAAAAGCCTAGTTTGACTTGGGCGTCCGTCCGGCTGGCTGTGGCCCCTGCCCCTCGCGCTCGGCTTCAGGCAAACCCGGTTGCTCTGGGGCCTGGGTCTAGTCTCCGGCCTGTGCCCATGGGGCTGCCGGGCTGCCCTGGTGCAGGGAGGGGAGCTGCTGCAGCGGGGCATCTGGCCTGGGGGCGGGGAAGCAGGAGTGCCCGAGCTGCCCACAGCCCGCCCCGCGAGGAGGAGCCTCTCCTGCCCTCCCTCCGTTCCTGGTTCCTAGGCCTGCGGTGGCCATGCAGAGAGGATCCGGGAATTCTGCAGCAGGAAGTCCCTGCCCAGCAGCTAGCCACGGGACAAAGCCAGGAAAGGGGCCTGGGGACCTTGGGGACCTCCTGAGGAGAGCGAGGCTGGGGGCAGGCGAGGGTCTCTGGTTGTTACAGGTGGCTGCGCAGGCTGGGGCACCCGCCCCCTCCAGGCCCGTGGTGGAGGAGGGGCACGCTCTGTGCCAAGCTCCAGGCCAGGAAACTGGGGGCCCTGGCAGGGGAGCTTAGCGGGGTGCTGTGTGGCTTCAGGAGAGATCCGGGCATCCAGAGAGGCCCACGCTGCCTAATCCCAGAAGTAAGGGTGGGCTTGGGGTGAGGTGCACGGTGTTATGGCCTTACCAACCATGGCAGGGTCACCCACACACCTGCTTCCCGGGACGAAGGCCAGCCCAATGTAGACACCAGGCGAATCCCCAGGAGGTCCTGCTGGCCCCCTGGTGAGCCCACCCTGCCTGCCTCCCACCTGGGTCCAGGCCCTGAGCACCCCCAGCTCACCCTATCCCCAACTCCTCTCAACATGCTTGCCTGACGCTCCCTGTCTGACCTTCCCTGTGGGGTCCTCGCCGTGTCCAGCCCAAGGCCCGGTGCCAAGCCAAAGCTCAGTGTCACATCTGGCGCCCACTCTTCATAACCACTGCGACCTACAGCCACAGGTGTTGGCTGGTCCTGTGGCCACATGCTTGGGGCACCGCCAAGCCCTGCCCAGCGCAGCGAAGGTGGGAGACCCTGCCTCCCATCCCCCAGGCTGCAGGCGGCGGGAGGGTGGGGCGTGGAGAGGGTGTGGTCCGTGGGTGGGCTGGGGCTTACTCCTGGGTTTCCTGGCCAGGTCCGTGGAGTCCTTGACTCACTCTGAGCTGGGGCTGGAGGAAGGGCCATCTGGACTGGCCCCTGAGTCAGCCGGCAGCCTTGTGACCATGTGACTCACCTGGGCCTGACTGCTCTGCTAATCCTTCCCTCCCAGAGTGATGGCTGCTGGGGAGGGCGGGGCCTTGCAGGGTAGCCCAGGGGTGCCCTGGGGGCACCCGTACCCTGAGGGAAGAGACCCGGGTTTAGGTGTGGGACCCCAGGTGATCACTGTCCCTCTGCTGTCCTGTGAGACTCATGGCACCTCCCTTCTCCTCCCGGATTCCTATAAGCCACAGAGGTCCCGTGAGGCGTGAGAGTGTGGCACTGCACCCCGTGGCAGGATCAGGGTGCTGGCTCAGGCAGGAGGGTCTCTCCCCAGCCCCCAGGCACCTAAGCTGGCTTCAGGGCTGGTGGCTGCTGTGAGGAGGGCCCTGTGAGGAGGGGCAAGCACAGAGGCTGGGTTTGGGCTCAAGGCCAACACGAGAGAGCCCAGGCATCACTGAAGGACTGCAGGACGCTGCAGGTGGCCAGCATTAGGGCTCAGCGGCTTTTCAGAGTGGCCTTCCCTCCTCGGTGAGCAGGCAGTCCCGAAGGCCCTGCACCAGGCCCCTGCAGTGGGGGTGCGGCTGAAGCGTCAGAGGGGTCTGAAATCCCGTCCTCTGAGCTGAGTCTGCCAAGCTGTGCTCGCTGGCACAGGGTGGTGTCTCTCATAGGGGGTGACTTTTCTCTTTGAAAGAAATTTTTGCTATAGGGCGCCTGTGCTTGCAGGAGAGACAGAGAGACAGAAAGAAATCACCCTGGGTGGATGGCTATGCCACAGTCCCTTCTCCTCCAGGATTTTGGGTATGTGTGCACACATGCCCCGTGTGAGCCCAGGGTCTGGGACTCGAACTGTGGTCGACTACATGGGAGCCCAGCATCGCAAGCACTACGCCACCTGCTGAATGGGGCGACGTCTCTAGTTTGCTCTGAAGGGTACGGAGTGGCCCTGGTCAGGGCATGGACTTGGGACCATGGTAACACGATCGGCCGATCTGTCACTTCCCTGCGTTCTCTTCTCTCCTCTTCCTCTCTCTCTGTTGGTACCTGCGTGCATCTCTGTGTTCCTGTCTCTGTCGCTCCGTTTCCCAGTGTCTCTCTTTCTTGCGGTATCTCTAGTGGGATGAAGACAAAAAAGTAAAAAGCAACTCCCCGGGTCGGTTTGGAGGGTATTTCGGGGACTTGGTGGTGGCTGGAAGGCAGGGGGTTGGCTCACTTAGGAGCTAGGGGTGCGATGGACGGTTCCAGCAAAACATGGGCAGGGTCGAAGCTGGGCCTGTCCACCTCAGAGGCCCGCATGATCAGCTTCCTTGAGGAACCCTGGTCAGGATGTCTGGGGGAGACAGTGCCATAGACTCAGCACGTGTGTCCTGGCCTCATGGTCTGGGGACCCCGTGGTCAGCTTTGCCTAGCCTGGGACAAGAGGGAGGGCAAAACCACCTGCATTAGGGCCAGCCCCGTGGCCTAGTAGTTAATGAAGCCTGACCCCACGTGGCTGACTGAGGATTGACACCTGGTCCCAGCGGCTGGGGAAATACACAGTGTATGTGTGCGCATGCCCCAAATTGGACACGACAGAGAAACGGAGAAAGGGGTGTGGCGTGACCACACCCCAGGAGGGTGCTCTCCTCCCTTCTGGGTCTTTTTGTCTCTCTAGGGAGCACACATGCCCTCTGGGAAGACAAACTGTCATGGCTTTCCAGCTGGGAGGTGAGCTACAGAGCAGAAAGGCAGAGGGAAGAGGGGGCTGGACCCCGCTCCAACCCTGCCCCTGGACAAGTCCCGCATCTACCTCTCTGAGCCTTAGTTTCCGCATCCGTGAAGTGGGTGAATCACAGGCTCCCACGTGGGCTGAAGGAAGAGCTGCTTGGTGATGGGAGATTCTCAAAGAACCAGGGGGCGGATCATTTATTAAGCACAACTACACGCCAGCCCCATTGTAGGGACCCGGGAATGGAGCAGGGGAGAAGACGACGAGACCTCTACTCCTGGGGCGTTTGCGATGGGGGTGACAGGTGAAGGAAGATGAGGTGGGCAGGGGGGACAGGGCCTCAGAGGTGCTGTTGGGAGGGAAGGTTCTGTTGGGTCACTTCCAGGCAGGGACCTGCAGGAGGTGAGGAAGGAGCCATGGTGGTGGTGGTGGTGGAGGTATGGCAGAGAACTGTGAGTGTGACAGCCCTGGGGCAGGAGGAGGCCTGGAGAGCACCCGGAACAGGAAGGCACCTGTGGGGCTAGGAGTGAGAGGATAGAGGCGAGGTCACAAAGGAAGTGAGGAGATGGTGGACTTTGCTGGTCAGGAGTCTCGGGGTTTCTTTGATCAGAACTGAAGTGATGATAGGGCATGCTTGCATTTATTGATTGATTGACTGATATTTTTGCTATAGGGTATGTGCTCGCCGGAGAGACAGAGAGACAGAAAGTGCGAAGTCACTCCCCCAGGGGGGATGGCCATGTCACAGTCCCTCCTCCTCCATTCTCCTCTTGGGATTTTGACCACGCAGACACACACAGCCCGTGTGAGTTTTAAGCCGCCGGGGTCTGGGACTCGAACACCAGTTGACTATGTGGGAATCCAGCGACATAACCATTACATCATCTCCTGGTCCCCGATTGATTTATTTTTTTGAAGAATCATTTAATTTGGTATAGGGTGTGTGTGTGTCCACGTGCCAGAGAGAGAGAGGGAGAGAAAGAAAGAAAGCGAGCCAGGTCCCGGGATAGAACCAAGGTAAGTCAGCCTTGTGGGAGTCCAGCGCCTTAACCACCGGGCCACTGGCCAGCCCCTGACATATTTATTTTTTAAAAACATCCTTGAACAAGGAAGAAGCTGTAGAGGGCGGGGCCTGAAGCAGGGAGGCCAGTTCAGAGGCTGCAGCTGTTACTACCAAGGGGTGCTGGGGAGAGGCAAGTCCCAAGTCCCGAGTCCCGGCGGGTTTTTATTCCTAGGGGGCGCACCTCGCCTAGCCCCTGTGTGCAATGATAGGCCAGGCCCCTCCCCAGGTGCCTCTCGCCTCCGCAGCCCGGGGCGTGGAGTTCCGGAAGGGCCCGTCGAGGGCCTGTGGGCGGCTGGGTCACGCGTGGGTGCCCGCGGCCGGAGGGCGGGACGAGGCGGGTGGGGGCGGGGGGGGGGGGGGGGGCCCCCGGGCCGGG